AGGGCAGTTATGTTCATAAAATGGAGAAGGATCTTAAACACACTTTCCCCTCGCTGTGTCAAAGCCCACAGCTGCCTGCACGGTCCTGTACATCCCACCTCCATCCCTACCCTCCAAACACTGATCCCTTGGCAAGTAGCCTCTCACTGGAGCTTGGACACCACACCATCCTGGGGATGTAGCGGATGACTGGCGCTAGGCCATCCCTTCCAAGCACATACATGATCAGAGATGAGTAGGCTGCTAAAGTCACACAGGTGGGAAGGGGTCCAGTCGGGGCCCAGCAAGTTCGAGTCTAGCACTGGGACTCCTAACCCCTGTGTCGCGCGGCCTTCATTACTGGGAAGTGTGACTTGGCAGCTAGATCCACACTGTAGTGTGTTGTTATTGTTTCTATGAGTCACATTATATGATCATCCCCCAGTTTGGTATGGCCTGGGGAGTGCGCTCACACTCACTCACACATACACACACACACACTCACACACTTACAAACTCACACACATTCACACACACACTCTCACTCACACACACATTCCCCCATACACTAAACTCACATTTACACACACACACACACACAAACACACTTACAAACTCACACACATTCACACACACACTCTCACTCACACACACATTCCCTCATACACTAAACTCACATTTACACACACAAACACACTTACAAACTCACACACACACTCACACTCTCATACACTCTCTCACTCACACACATTCCCACATACACTAACACTCACATTTACACACACACTAACACACTAGTACAAACTCACACACACACACACACACACACACACACAACTGAAATCACTTCACTTCCTATTTTGTAACCTGCCTTTTCCAATTAACTCTATGGCATGAGAAAAAACTCCATGTACGTAATTTTAGGAAACTGCTTCCCGTCATCTCGATTTAATCTGACGGGAAGGTCCTCTCCTGTGGCCTGAGGATGTCTCCACTTGACTGCTGTGTAAGTGATCCTGGTGCCGATCAGTCCACATGAGTCCGTTGTCCGTCTCTAATTACGCCCTTGGGATAAATTCCTAGGAGGGAAATTACTGGGAATACACACTCGCAGACTTTGGGTCCATCTTTCTAATTTGAAGAGGAAGTTTCATCCCAGGGGTTTATCTAGGTTGGGGAGGGGCGGGGAGTTCTGGGAAGGAATGCCATGGCCCAGCCTCAACTCGCCCTGTGCCCTGCTGGATTCCAGCCCCCTGCCCCACGTGCCCTCCCCAGCTGCGTCTCCAGCTGCATCCCCAGCAGGGACTCCTTTCTGTGAAGATGAGCTCAGTTCAGAGCTGCTTCTGGCTCAGAGGATGATGCCCTGTCTCCAGGGCGATTTCATCCGGGAGCTGCTGATAGGAGCAGCTTTGGGAACAACATGTCCTTGGCCAATTCCACTTCCCAAGTCCTTTTCCCTTCATTTGTTGGGTTCTTTGATTTTTTTCTTTGGATTTCCAGGACGAAGCTCTGGAGAGGGGGCCATTTCTCCAGCTGCTCAATCTTACTTGTTAAATGAAACCTGTCGTCAGCTTCCCCAGCCAGCCCAGCGACTCCCAGCTGTCCCTGCAGGCCCCTGTCCCTGGACGGTCAGAGGAGGCCACGGAAGGATAGCTGCTTCCACCAGCCCGGGTCTCTCCTGCTTGGGTGGGCACTCGGGGTGGCAGAAGCTTCAAGGCCTGTAGGAAAGGGTTGGGACAGGGAGGGTGATCGTGTGTGTGACTGGTGTGACCCACCATCGCCCCTCTTGTACTCCCAGGGGGCCCCTGGGACAGGCTCAGGGGAAGGGCAGACAGAGCACAGGAGGGACACACTAGGCCTGAGCAGTGCCTCTCGGTGGGGAGGACCTGCAGCTCCTGCTTCTCCTCCACCTCTACCCCCAGCGTGGACCCCACTGCTCCCCCACTGACCTCGGCCTCTGCTCTCTGAGGCTCTGAGGCAGCCAGGGTATCGGCGCCATCCCCTGTGATCTTGGCAGGTGCTCATTCTGTGGCAGCACCGACCAGACACCCTATGGCCCTCCCGCTGCCTGCCCGCACCTCTCCGGAGAATGCACTGCTCGGAAGAGTGATTCCGGGAACAGTTCTCGAGGCATCTGAGAAACTCATTGGCTGCTTGGCCGCAGTGGCTCAGGTGGTTGGGTGTCACCTGTGCTCCGAAAGGTTGCAGGTTGGATCCCCAGTCGGGGCACATACAGAAGGCTACCTGTTTCTCTCTCTCCCTGCACCCGCTTCCTCTAAGCATGTCCTCTGGTGAGGATTAAAAAAAGAAAGAAACTCACTTGCCTTGAAAGTCAACTGCCCACTCAAGGCCCCCACAGGCTGGGCCGAGAGCAGCTACCACCCAGAACCGGTCCTGGACAGGGCCATACCCCCCAGCACGGGGGACAAGGCATTTATCTCAGGAACTTCTGGGGCTCCTGGCCTCGTTCTGTCACCCCATAGGCTGGGTTTTGGAAACCGCCTCTGCAGCAGGTCGTTAGCAGTTCCCAACGTTGTCCCTGTCACAGCCTGACAAAGGGGAGAACCGAGGTCTCACCAGCTCTTGAGTTTGCTAAGTCACTGGAAGTTCAGAGAAGATCTTCTTTGGAAACAGGGTCTCTGCAGAGGGAATGAGTTAAGCTAAAATGAGGTCCCACTGGCAGGGGGCGCCCTAAATCCAGTATGGCTGGTGTCCTCATAGGAAGAGGAGACACAGCGCACACAGGGAAGACAGTGAGATTGCGAGATTGGTGTGATGCAGCCACAAGCCAAGGACTACCAGGGAGTGCCAACAGAGACCCGAGGCAGGAAGAGGAGGGAGGGGTCCTTCGGGGAGCTTCAGAGGGCCTGGCCCACCAGAGCCATGATTGGGAATTCCTGCCTCTAGAAACTGAGAGAATAAAATCTGTGTTTTAAGCTGCCTGGTTTGTGCTAATTTGTTACCACAGCCCAAGGAAACTAAACTTTGAGTTATTTTAGAAAGTTGATTGTTTTCATTATATTCTTATTTATAAGTAGTGGCCCAGTGCATAAAATTCGTGCACATTAAAAGGGAATTAATTAGAGGAAATATTTTAATATTGCTATTTGTCCTTTCTCTATAATAAAACTGTCAGAGATGAAAGAAAATTAGTAAAATGTATATGAAAATCTCCCTCCTGTCAGAGTCTGGGGCATGCCACGGGACCCAGAATCAAGTCCCCGCCCATCCATGTGCCCCTCGAAATCATGTGAGACCCAGACCCAGCTGGCCCCTCCCCGGTTAAGCCCCGCAGGGCAGGGGGTGCAGCCTCAGGTCCTCTGTCAAGCCCCACTGGGCGGAGGGTGCAGCCTCAGGTCCCCGGCCTGGTGCCGAGCCAGGGGCACAGCCTCAGGTCCCCCAGCCCTGGCGCTGGGGCAGGGGGCACAGCCTCAGGTCCCCCACCCCGACACCGGGGCGGGGGGCGTGGCCTCAGGTCCCCAGGCCCGGCCTCAGATCCCTCGGCCCTAGTGCCAAGGCACGAGGGGACATGGGTGCGATGACCATTTGCATATTAGCTCTTTATTATATAGGATAACGTTTCAATTATATTAATAATACCAAAACCACACACACACACACACACACACACACACACACATATTCTGGTAAGCACATAGGAGGCAGGGGCCCTGTCTTTGAAGATGCCACAGCCCTCACACTGGTTCTGGAAGGATCCTTGCTCAGCCCTGGGTGAGGTGCTGGGGCCCTGCAGACCCCCGTGGGGCCCTGACCACCTGTGGAAACCTGGGGACAATGGGGCTGCCCTGGGAGTGGGGGGCGGGAGTCCCCTCCACAAGCGGTGGATCCGGGCGGGAGGGATTACTGAAATGACCAGGAAGCAGCACCGAAGGAAACAGGACCCACAGGTTCAGGAAGCAGGGGCCTCTGCAGGTGCATGTGCAGCTAATTACAGGAGGAATGACCACCACGGCCAGGTGGGGACACCTTTGCCCTCGGGTGCAGTGTGAGGTCCTCGAGCTGCTTCCTGCCATTCCCTGCTTCTGAAGCCTCCTGGATCCCCAAGACTAGGGACACCGGGGCCTCAACCAGAAGCTTCCTCCACCTGGTTCCTGTCCCGGAGCCCAAATCGTGACTCATCTGTGCCATCAGCTTCCTGGGGAGAAGCGGGGATAACGGGAGACAATTGCCCTCATTCCTTCCAGCTCTCACAGCCCAGTTTCCAACCGTTGAGAGTAGAGGAAGCTGGGGTCTAGCAGGTAGCTCATAGCCCTTCCCAGGTCCTGTGCTGAGGACTCCAGAAACCCATGTTCCCTGAGGCTATCACTGCAGCGAGCACACCTGTGCCCTTTCCTGACCAGAGTGGGATGGGGGGCCCTGTGGCTGTGGTGTGCTAGTGCGGAATAGTCCAGAACATGATGGCTCTGGCCAGCTGACCTGAGGCAGAGAAGCTGCTGCTGAGGGTGAGAAGGGGCAGGTCCTGGGCTGGGAGGTGCTGGAGGGCAGGGCAGGCTGCGGGCTGTAGGCACTTCAGAGGTTGTTCAGCTCAGAGGACATCTGGGAGGGACAGTGTGGAGCTCCCTTAGGGGATCCAGAACCTTCTAGAAGCCTGTTTACACGTGGAGGCTTAGGAAGAATCCTGAATGGGGAAGCAGTGCTGGGTTGGGTGCAGGGACGTGCAGAGGAAATAGCAGGTGAAACCCTCAAGGACAGAGTGGTGGGAGCCTGGACCTGGGGGATGGGAGGCATTCTTGGGGAGTCGGGGCGGGGGGCTGCTCAGCAAAACTGAGCAAACCTGGCCTCGGCATGTCTGTGCATCACAGTCGTCTGAGCCAGTGGTTCTAGACACTGTGGAGGGGTGGGGGCCTCAGGACCCTGTGGAGCACCTTCAGTGCACACCCAGGCCTCACTGCCATCGGGCCCTGCAACACCGCCTGCAGGGGAAGATGTGTCTGAAGCGTCCAGTGTTCCTCCCCAGCTTCTACTGTGACCCACAGCCAGAAACACTGACCCTTCCCAAATTCAAGGACATCCTTTTAATCACAATCTTCTCATCCACAGACTGGCTAGAGGTGAGAGCAAACACATCAGAGACTCCCCAGAAATAATGACCGTTATGTTCTGCTCCCTCCTAGCACCAGCCCCCTTCCTAGGGTGGCCTTCACCTCCAGCTGGGGGCGTCCAGGTTAATGCCTGCACCACCGCCGCTCCGAAATCCTGTTAGCCGATCTCAGGTGGGACGAGGGGGCTTGGGGCCTGCTCTGACGTCAGGGCCAGGAAGCCATTCCCAGGCCAGGCCCAGAGCTCCCCGGCCTCCCTGCCTGCCCACAGCCTCAGCGTGGGGGGCAGTTACCAGGCTGCGGCCTACACGATGCCCTCGGTGAGCTGGCTTTTCCAGACCACCAGCCCAGTCATGAGCAGGGTCATCAGGATGGGCACCACAATGAAGGGGCAGAGGATGCTGAGGGGCGGGTCCTGCATGGCCCGGCCTGAGACAGGGCAGCTTCTGAAGTAGTGCTGGTGGACGGTGATGAAAAACTTGTTCACCACGGCGTTTGGCCAGTAGCAGTTCAGCCTTTGCATCACGTACATGGTGCAGTTTCTGAGCTCTTCGTAGCTCCTGCAGATAGAAAAGCAGGTGGTCAGCCCTGACTGGTTTGGCTCAGTGGATAGAGCATCAGCCTGCGGACTGAAAGGTCCCAGGTTCAATTCTGGTCAAGGGCATGTACCTTGGTTGTGGGCACATCCCCAGTAGGAGGTATGCAGGAGGCAGCTGATCGATGTTTCTAACTCTCTATCCCTCTCCCTTCCTCTCTGTAAAAAAATCAATAAAATATATTAAAAAAAAGAAAAACAGAAAGAAAAGCAGGTGGTCAGGAGGAAAAGTAATACTGAAGCTGGCCTCACAGTGCTTGTAGTCTGTGGGCTAGTTTCAAACAAGGTGAAGAAAAGAAAAGGAAAGAAAAGAAAAGGAAAGAAAAGAAAAGAAAAGAAAGAAAAGGAAAGAAAAGAAAAGCAGGTGGTCATCCCTGGGTAGGCAGCGACTAAGGTGGGACCTGAGCCAGGGCTCTCCACATTGAGGGCAGACTAGAGGTGGGACAGCCAACATCTTCAGATGTCAGCCCAGGGCAATGAGCCCTCTGGTGGGCAAATCTGCAGCCCATTCTGAGGAATAAATAATTAGTGAATGTGAAGACAGGTCTGTAGAAATGACCCAAAATGGAACAGAAGGAGAAAAGAGCTATGGTAAATTCACAACACTCTCAATAATATCAACCCCAACTTGTAATCTGAGTTCCAGGAGGAGAAGACGGAATGGGGGAGAAGGAATATTTGAAGAGATAATGACTGAGAATTTTCCCAAAATAATGAGACATCAATTCACAAACCCAAGAAGGTAAAGTACCCCAAACAGGACAATAAAAACCAAAACAACAACAAACAAACAGCCACACAGACGTGTCAAAGCCAAACTCTGAAAACCAAGATAAAGAAAAAAAAATCTTGGAGTCAGAGAAAAGACACCTCCAGGGAACAATGATATGAGTCACAGCTGACTTCCCACCAGAGACTATGGAAGCCCAAAATGATGGGGGCATCTTTAAAGTACTGGTGGTAGAGATGGGGGAACTGTCTGCCCAGAATCCTACACCCAGTTAAAAATATTTTTCAAATATGATGTTGAAATAAAGACCTTTTTAGAGGAAAAAAGAGCTGGGAGAATTCATTGTGCTACAAGAAATGTTAAAATTCTTCAGTAAAAAAAAAAAGAGAACAGAAAGAATTTTGGACCCACACAAAGAAATGAAGAGCTCCTTAACTGGTAAAATGAAGATATTTATTTATTTTTATTTTTTTAAATATATGTTTGTATTGATTTCAGAGAGGAAGGGAGAGGGAGAGATAGAAACATCAATGGTGAAAGAGAATCATTGATCGGCTGCCTCCTGCATGCCCCCTACTGGGGATCGAGCCTGCAACCTGGGCATGTGCCCTGACCGGGAATCGAACCGTGACCTCCTGGTTCATAGGTCAGTGCTCAACCACTGAGTCACACCGGCCAGGCAAAATGAAGATATTTAAAAGACACCGTTCCTTGTTTTTCATCTAGAAAGTGATTAAGTGAAGCAGAAGCCATACAGCAATTTGGGGAGCCGGAGGGAGGCTTTCAAAGGCCCATGCCTCCAGCTACAATCTTATGGTTTCTAAGTCGCTTGGTCACTATTTTGTCTGCCTGGCTGCTCTCTGGGCCGTTACCTCAAGTACCAGGGTGCAGGGGGCCTCCCCCAGACTATGTGGGTGGGCAAAGTGCAGGAGACTGGGAAGGAGAGGGTGGGCAGAGACCACAGAGGCTGTGCAGGACCTGTGCCCGCTGGGTGTGTGGTTTTCCCACGTGAACAAGGACTCATGTTTCGAGTACAAAACACAAGTGGAAGAAGCCACAGAAGTCCTGACAGGTTGGGTCTCATTGTGAGAAAAGAATGAGTTAGAACATGTCGAGTGCCTGGCACATGTAAGTGCTAAAGGTATCAGGTGTTGTTGAAAACTACATCCAGCCCTTGGTGTGGTTGTTGATTAACCACATGGCTACGTGTTACAAACACTGGTGTGAATGACTGTCTGCTCCCCACCACAGACCCACCAAACTAGCAGGTAGTGTTTGGTGTTCTGCAGACCCAGTGACAGTCAACCCTACATGTTGTCCTCCCATCCTCTGTGCTTGAGGAGTGGAGCTGGGATGTCCTGAGAAGGAGGTGTTGCCATCTCTGCATGGGAAGGAGCCCCTGACCCAGGACGCTGTGACCGGCAG